AAACGGTTAGGTGGGCTATTCATTTAAAAAAAAAAAAAGGAAAAAAAAAAAGGTGTATTACGTCTATTCTTTTGAGTAGTGAAACGGTATTCACCAATTCGTGGTAGCTGAGGTAGATCCCAGGGCTCGATCCCTAGTTCCCCAACTTACCTGTGTACAATACCTGCGTCAACTCGAAGAGTTGAACCTGCGACCTATAGAACCGCCAGTGGTAGGTAGGTCTGTCGTAGGTCTATAGGTAGCCAGGATTCGATCCGTAGACCTATAGACTAGAAGGCTAGCTGCAGTCCTTCTAGAAGGTTGGCAAGTGGTCAAGTGGTGCAGGCAAGTGGTCAAGTGGTGCAGGCAAGTGGGCAAGTGGTGTGACTAAAGCAAGCCCATGTTGGAGAGCGTCTAGAAAGTACCAGTCCGGTCCAGCAAGTACCACGGGGGGAACTGTGTGCACCATGGGCCAGGGACACAAGGCAGACCAATGCAGCACAAAAGTATAAATCAAGAGGCTGCGTCCATTCATTCATTCATTCYTGCGGATGCCAGGCGGAAGCGCTGCCTTACCAGCTTGTGCGAGGCGGTCTGCAGTGCGCCCGAAGACGAAGTGGGCAGAGAAGTGTAGTGTAGCGATAGGGTAGAGGCAGCTAGCGCTGCCATAGCTGTAGCATAGTATGTGTGTGTGTTGTGTATGATACGGAGTGTTGCGTGTGGGACATCCAGGGTGATCYAGAGTGCGAACAGTGAGTTGTGTGGGCRCCCAGTCRCCATAGCCAGTTGAAGAGAACTCATATCTGGTTACGATATCTTGAGTACTGTGTGGGCGCATGTCGCCAGTTGCTGTACCGCTGTTTGCAGGCATGAAAAAGTGACAAGAAGACGAGTTTGATTTCAGTAGTACATCTTGAAAATTTTGAAAATTTTGTTTTTTTATTATTACTACAAATATTGCACTTTAAATCCACTTTTCTTCTACAGATAAAGTTCTTGATATCTCACGGCTGTCGCCCTTTTAGAAAAGACTGAGTGCAAGCAGCAAAATGAGGAACAAGGCAGGCAGGTGGGGTAACGCCAAGACAAAGGAGGGCAGAAGCGCAAACAGCAGGAAAGCCAGAAGGGTAAGAGAGCGAGCAGCAAGCCAACACAGAAGGCATCAGCAGGGTCAACAGCGCAACAGCAGCAGAGGCAGGAAGGGCAGAAAAGCAAGCCGCAAGGCAACAAGGCAGGCAGCAGCACATGCAGAGAGGCAAGACAGCTGCATGAGAACAGCAACCCGACCATACCAGAAGGACCAGAGTGACATGCCTTTGTTTATAAATACCAAAGTGAACTCTCACCTACTCACACCATAAGGAAAAACTCTACTCACACCATGGACTCAAAAAAAAAAAAAAAAAAAAAAAAAGGGAAAACTCCACAGACTGTAGGTTCAAACTCTGCAGACTGTAGGCTTGAGCTTTACCTACTGCAGGCTGACCTACTCACACCATCAGGAGAAACTCTACAGACTGTAGGCTTATGCCTTTATGCCACCGTCTATATATATAATATATATATCGTCAAATAGAACTGCCCGGTAAACCGTAGGCAGAGAGGGAGAAGAGGACAACAAACGAGGGGCTGTGACAAACTGTTTTGTCGGAGTTTCACCGACTCATCAGGAGGCTGAACCCTCAACAGTCTGCAGAATCCCCTCACTGATTACACTGTAAATGATAATCTACCTTAACCAAAATCAAAGTAGACTATCACTCACCCACACCAGATGGAAAACTCTAC